ATTGCACCCAGTTTCATGAAGCAAACCTTACTGGATCTAAGCAAATGGATTTATAGCAACTCCATAATCACTGGAGATTTCAACACCCACCTGACGGCACAAGACAGATCCTCCAAACAGAAAATTAATAAATAATTAATGGCTTAAAGAAAACCCTGGAACAACTGGGTCTTATTGACAACTACAGGACATTCTACTCAAAATCCACTGAATATACGTTCTTTTCATCAGCTCATGGGACATTCTCTAAGATTGACCATATCGTAGGACACAAAGTAAATCTCAAGAAATTTAAAAAAGTAGAAATCATACCATGTACCTTCTCAGATCACAGTAGAATAAAACTAGAAATCAACCCTAACAGAAACTCACATTTCTACACAAAAACGTGGAAATTAAACAACCTCCTACTAAATGATTACTTCATAAATGAAGAAATCAAGAAGGAAATAAAAAAATTCTATGAAGAAAACGACAATAGAGAGACAAGTTATCAAATTCTCTGGGACAAAGCTAAAGCAGTTCTGAGAGGAAAGTTTATCTCCATAAATGCCTATAACCAAAAGACAAAAATATCACAAATAGACAATCTAACGAAATGACATAAAGAGCTGGAAAAAGAAGAACAGATCAACCCAACCAGCAGAGAAGTGAAATAAAACAAGATCAAATCAAACTAAACGAAATTTTAAACAGGGAAGCTATTCAGGAGATTAATAAAACAAAAAGTTGGTTCTTCTGAAAAATGGGAGGGGGGAAGGGGTCTGGTATATACGTATATAATGAGTGAGATGTGCACCATCTGGGGGATGGTCATGCTGGAGACTCAGACTTGTGGGGGGAGGGGGGAAATGGGCATTTATTGAAACCTTAAAATCTGTACCGCCATAATATGCCAAAATTAAAAAAAAAATAAATAAATAATAAACTTCAAAAAAAAATTTCTGTTTGGATGATCTGTCCTTGCCATCACTGTGGTGTTGAAATCTCTGGTGATTATGGAATTGCTATTAATCAATTTGCTTAGATCAAGTAATGTTTGCTTTTTGAAACTGGATGCACCTAAGTTGGGTGCATATATATTTAAAATTGTTATCTCTCTTGTTGAACTGTGCCTTTCACCATTATATAATGACCATCTTTGTCTTTCACTACTTTTGTTGGTTTGAAAACTAAATCATCTGAAATTAGAACTGTCATGCCAGCCTTCTTTTGTCTTCCACTTTCTTCAAATACTGATCTCCACCCTTTTACTTTTAGTGTATATGCATCCTTTCAGGTTAGATGTGTTTCCTGAAGACAGCATATTGTTGGCCTGTATTTTCTTATCCATTCAGCTAGCCTATGTCTCTGAGGGGAGAGTTTATTCACACTTATTGAGAGAACTGATAGGTAAGGTAGATTACTGTTCATTCTGTTGGGTTGGATGTTGTTTTGATTTCTCTCTTGAGCCATTGTAATATCTGGCCTTTAATCTTTGGGTTTTGGTTGTTTTTATATTCATGAGTTTTTATTATGGTGTTCTGTGTGTAACACTGTTTTGAGTACTTCTTGTAGGGCTGGTCTTGTCTTGGTGAATTCTCTGAGACTTTGCTTTTCTGAGAATGTCTTAATTTCTCTTTCATCTATAAAGCTTTGTTTTGCATGGTACAAGATTCTAGGCTGGGCGTTATTTTGCTTCAAAACAGTGAGAGTGGGGCCCAAATCTCTCCTTGCTTGTATTGTTTCAGTTGAGAAATCTGGCATTATTCGGATGAGTTTTACATTGTATGTAACTTTTAGCCACTTGTAGAAGCCTTAAGCAGGACCTACGCCTTTCATCTCTCACAAAAATGAACTCACACTGGATAACAGACTTAAACCTAAGATATAAAACCATTAGAATTCTAGAGAAAAGTGTGGGAAACACGCTCTTAGACATCAGCCTAGGCAAAGAGTTTATGAAGAAGTCCCCAAAGGCAATCACAGCAGCAACAAAAATAAATAAATGGGACATGATGAAACTAAAAAGATCTGCACATCCAAAGAAATAGTTATGAAAGTAAACAGACAACCTACAGAATGGGAGAACATTTTTGCATCCTATGCATCTGATAAAGGGCTGATAACTAGAATATACTTAGAAATCACGAAAATCAGCAAGAAAAAATCAAATAACCCTATCAAAACGTGGGAAAAGGACTTGAACAGAAACTTTTTTAGAGAAGACAGAAGAATGGCCAACAAATATATGAAAAAATGCTCAACATCTCTAATCATCAAGGAGATGCAAATCAAAACCACAATGAGATATCACTTAACTCCAGTGAGAATGGCCTTTATCAAAAAGTCCCCAAGCAATAAATGCTGGCATGGATGCGGAGAGAGAGGAACACTCCTACACTTCTGGTGGGACTGCAAACTAGTTCAACCTCTGTGGAAAGCAATATGGAGATACCTTAAAGCGATACAAGTGGATCTACCATTTGATCCAGCAATCCCATTACTTGGCATCTACCAAAAAGATGCAATGACACTCTACAAAAAAGACACCTGCATTCAAATATTTATAGCAGCACAATTTATAATTGCAAGTGGAATTATCCCAACTGGAAACAGCCCAAGTGCCCATCAATCCAAGAGTGGATTAATAAAATGTGGTATATGTATACCATGGAGTACTATTCAACTCAAAGAAACAACAGTGATATAGCACATCTTATATTTCCTGGTCAGAGCTGGAACCCATACTACTAAGAGAAGTATCCCAAGAATGGAAAAACAATCACCATGTATACTCACCAGAAAACTGGTATTAACTGAGCAGCATCTAAGTTGGCACATAGGTACTACAGTAATAGGGTATTGGGCAGGTGGGAGGGAGTAGGGTGCGGGTGTATACATACATAATGAGTGAGATGTGCAGTATCTGGGGGATGGTCACGCTGGAAATTCAGACTTGTGGGGGGAAGGGGGAACGGGCATTTTTTGAAACCTTAAAATTTGTCTGCCCATAATTTGCAGATATAAAAATAAAGAAAAAAATGATTCTATGCTGGACGTTATTTTGTTTCAAAAGAGTGCTAGTTGGGATCCAGTCTTTCCTTGCTCGTGTTGTTTCAGTTGAGACATTTGGCATTATTCAGATCAGTTTTCCTTTGTACGTAACTTGTTTCTTTCGCCTTACAGCCTTTAGGAGCGTCTCTTTTGTTGATATTTTGGTCCATCTGATGACTACATGGCGTGGTGTTTTCCTATTTGCATTGTATCTCTCAGGAATCCTTTTGGCCTCTTGTATTTCTAATTCTAGGTTACTTGTTAGACCTGGGAAGTTTTCCTTAATTATTTCTTCAAAAAGCTTATCCAACCCTTGGGTTTTTTCTTCCTCCTTCTCCAGATCCAGTGGACCCACAGGTTAGTTTTCTTCATATAATCCCACAATTCTTGTAAGTTTTGCTCATGTATCTTATTTTTCTGCTCTAACTTTGTGATTAACTTATATGATTTGAATGAGTTGTCTTCAACCTCTGAGATTCTTTCCTCTGTTTGGTCCACCCTATTTTTGAGGCTTTCCACTGTGTTTTGAATTTCCCTGAATAAATTCTTCATTTTGAGGATATGTGATTGATTCTTCTTTAAGATCTCAATCTCCTTAGTGAATCTTTGTTCCAATTCTTGCATCTTCTTTGTAGTTTCTTTGTGTTGGTTATCCATTTTTTCTTTCATATCATTGACCTTGCTTACAATCCAATTTTTGAATAATTATTCTGTCATTCTAGTGTTTTGCGTTTGTTCAAACTCCGTTTCTTGAGAGCTGGTGTATCTCCTAGGGGGAGGAGTATTTTGCGTTTGATTTTTTGAATTATGTTGGGCCCTCCCCATCTGGGTCAATTGCTAGAGCTCAATCGTCCACTCTTTTGTCTATGATGCTCATTTTAAACATGGCAAAGGAGGGCAGAATATTCTGAGCACACACCCGCCTTTTCTCAAGTCCCTCCTCCGGCCAGCCCTTCTGAGGTCCCAGGCTGACCTTTCCCCATTATCTGAGGTGCCACGACTTGCTCCTCCATGCTCAGTATAGTACAGCTCCTGCTTTCCCTCCATGGCTTTTCTCTTGCATGTGCCTCTTGTCACCCTGGGAGCTTCTTAGGTTGTTACATTGATAGATAGGTTGGTAGGTAAACAGATACACAGACACATAGATACATAGACAGATGTATGCATACATACATAGGTATATATATATATATATATATATATACACACACACACACACACACACACACACACACACACAGATAAGTAGACAGAGAGATAGGTATGGATGGACAGACAGATACATTAAAGGGAAGACAGAGGTCATGGGATCTGCTAGCATGTCTAGGTCCAACTCTGCTGGCCTGAGACCAGTGGATGACTCTCAGTCTGAAACTTAAGGCCAAATAACCTGGTGTGCTGATGTGTAGATGCAGGAGAAGAAGGATCTCACAGCTCCTGAAGCAGGAGAGAAAGAGAGAGTAACTGTGCCTCCTGCTGCTTTTTCTGTTGCCTGAGCCCCCAGCTGACTGAAACCTGCCTACCCAATTGAGCGCAGATGACCCCACTCATTCCAATTACTGACAGTCTCCTCTGCAAACACCCTCACAGACCCACCCAGAAGTAATGCTTTACCACCTTTGCAGGTATTTCTTAATTCAACCAATTTAGCAGCTAAAATTCACCCCCACAGGGACTTGCTTTGATCTGAACACCCTAAGGAAGTGGGAGAAATGCAATGATCTGGTTCATCAAAATCACTGGTCACTGAAGATATTTTACAAATAATATACTCCACTTCCCCTCTGCTTTCATAATCCTAAATCAAAGAGAGCCTCAGTCCTCCTCGTCCCTGTCACTGCCTCAGCCCCAAACAGCTGCATCTCCCTCAGGGTTTCTGACACCCTCAGGATGTGGGTTGTAGCTATGTGTCTGGCACAGTAATATACAGGTGTGTCCTCAGGTCTCAGACTGCTCAGCTCCATCTAGGCTGTGCTCATGGATGTGTTCCTGGTCATGGCGACTCGGAACTGGAACTTCTGCACATAGCTTGTTCCTCCTGTGTTTGTGTTCAGCCATCCCATATACGGCATTCCTTGCCCAGAGGCTTGTCTCACCCAATTCATAGCATAGCTAGTGAAGGTGTATCCAGAAGCCTTGCAGGACACCTTCACGGAGGCCTCAGGCGGCCTCACATCAGATCCAGATGGCACCAGCTGGACCTCAGAGTGTGCACCTGTGCAGAGAGGATAGGACTAGGTGAATCCACCTTGTCTGGCACCAGACCCCTCCTCACCCTGGGACTGAGGAGACCCTCACCTGTAGCTGCTGCCACCAGGAAGAGGATCCTCCAGGTCCAGTCCATGCTGAGGAGCTGAGCTCTCAGGGACTTCTCTAGAGGATGGTCGTGGTTATGGAGTGATGCTCTCAGGGCACAGCCATAGTAGTATTTACCTCAGCAGACCTCAGGCCATTTGCATATTAATGAGGTGGGGCATTTCATGGCCCCAGACCTACCCCAGCATAAGAAAGAGAAATGAGATGATGCATGAGTCACACAACCAGAAAATGCTAGGGACAAGCATTCCTGCAACCCCCTTGAACTCTATGTGCACAGAGGTCCTCCCACTGAAGAAAAAAAGCCCCAAATACCCGTTTTTCACTGGGAACCTACATGTGATATGCATGAAGACCTCCAGGACCATCTCTGCGCTTTGGTATCTGAATGTCTTTCTCTTTGGATCAAAGAGTTATATATATAAAGAGTTATATGTAAAAAATCTTCCCTTGCCTCCAGCTGCTTACTCTTAACAGATGTAGAAGGACTAGAGGACCTTTGTAAATGTGGCTTTCATTAAAGTATTGTGTTACATAAACACTCACAGCTGAGTAGGATATTCATACAAATATCAATACATCATATAAAATTCTTATGTTAGAATTTTTTCAAAAAAGGAATACCCAGTCCCCAAGAGCAACCCCTTCCCAGCCTCCTGTGCATGTGCTGCTGGGCGGCAGCCTGTGCTGGGTGCTCCTGAGCGCCCCCTGCCACCCAGCCCCACCTGCAGTGGAGGTTCCCTCTGGGCTCTCAGAGCATCTTCCTCCCAGTGTTCCCAGCCCAGTGTGACCTCACTGTGCCCCAGGTCACTTGCTCCTTCACGAACAGCATGTGATTTTGACAGGAAACTGAACTGGCCTTTCTAAACCCAGGGAACTCTGCAGGGAGGCCCCAAGCATAGATGGATTCTATGAAACCATCAGGGAGCCCCTTCCCTGGAGCTCCAACATGCCCTAGTACGGGCACACCCACAGGGGTCCAGAAACCCTCAGAGCCTTTGAAAGAGGCTCATATCTCCTTTAAGTTCCTCTAGTTAAATGTCAAATCATAGAAGACTTTAACCCACAGCTCCTGGGCCTGGCTCAGAGCCTACCACACTGCTAATTCTGCAGCACACAGTCACACACACACACACACACACACAAACACACACACACACACACACACACATACACACACACTGTGGCCAGTGTTCACAGCTATGGGAGGGACACTTCCCTTCCTCCTTGCATGTTGCACATGGGTTGAGCCCACACACTGAACCTGGGCATGGGTATGTGCCTTTGTCAGACAGACCACAGCAAACACCTTACAACTGGAGAATGGAACTTGTACATGCTGTGGGTTTTTCTGTTATCCCAGCAAGAGGAACCCTGCAGATGACCCTGATCAGGGCCAGGCTTGCCCCTGGAGGGTCAGACCTGACAGAGCCATGTGCAGTCAATGCAGCCAACACCAAGCTGCCTGGACTCTGGGTAGGGTCTCACTGGCCATACAGCCCAACAGGTCCCCCTCTCAGAGGCACAGCCAGGAGCCTGAGAGCAGGGCCCTGGGGACTTGGGTGGGGTATTGCCCCAGGGGAATAAGCAAGAACTGATCTTGGAAGAGGGGACTCAGGAGGGAGAGCTGGGCATGTCAGAGTCCCTGAAACAGAATCTGGGATGGGCCACCACTTACTAAATCCAACATGGGGCATCTATTGTGGGGAATGTGTAGCTATCCCCTCTGGGCTGGGCAGGTGGGCTCCATAGGGTGACTGACTTGTATTTTCACTTCTCCAGTCTCGGGAACATAAGAGGTGCACTTAAAAAGCACAGCTGAGGAAACACGTATGCTTCCTGGTCCAGGCTGCAGTGGATGCTGCACATGGGCCCATGTGTCTCTCCTGGGGTGAGCAGGGGCTGCATGTGAGATGAGGAGGACTCAGGTTTTTGCACCATGGCCCAGAATCCCCCTTCCTATAGCAGGGCCCTTTGCAATGTGACTTCTCAGTGCCTCCTGCCCAGAGGAGGGAGCTGTATATGACCCCAACACAGTGTGCCCAGGAACTCACTTGTGCTATCCACAGAGGCCATGAAAGTTCAGGGTCACTGGGTGTCCTTAGTTCATTGCTCCCCAAAACACTGTGGTGACCTGCAGGGCTGTGAGCCTAGGGCTGGTGGTCCACTGGAAACCCACAACTGAGGGAAGTTAAGTCCTGATAATTTAGAGGAGAAGTTGTCAACCAGCTCATGTGGTGCTGTTCAGCTGCATCAGAGATCCTGGCTGGGGCAGCAACCTGGTGAGTGTGGTTCCTGCCCTGTGAGGCAGGCCAGGCTTCCACAGGGCTCCTTCCTCACCAGCAAAGATGGTGGCACTGTCCATCCTTGTGTGCCCATCCTGCTGGTCATCTCCCCTGTCTGACTTCCTGCCCAGTGGCCCAGAGGCCCTTCACCTGACACAGTGACAGAGGCACTTCTTAGTCACCTCTGCAATTGCCCAAGCCCAGGTAGCTGCAGGAGAGATCTGATGTCACCCTGGTTCTCTATCCTGGATGAGCCCAAGGGATTCACAAGGAAATGCTGAATATTTCCATGAGGAGAAGAGAAATTTTGCAAATACCACAAAGGACAAGAAAGAAATGACTCTGAGGATGGTGATACAGGATTGCTGAGCATGTAGCTAGCAGAGGGTCCAGATTCGTCTGTTGACCTCGTTTTTGTCCCCCTGTTTGTCTGGGATTCCCTAAGTTCTCCTGTTCAGATAGACTCTGTCATCACACATTGAGCTTTCAGCCACTCTCATCATGCTAGTGGGATGAGGATGTGTAGGGAGAGGAAGAGTGGATATTGGTATGACTACACCTCAATGACTCAGACATCCTCAGACCCTGGGCTGTGACTTTCACCAGGAGTCCCCAGTGATAGAGGTCATTTGCACCTGTGCTCTACTCCCTTCCCTGGGCATGTTGCCCTACACTATGCCCCTCGCCCTCCACCCTTATTGATTATTTCTTCTCATAGGAGATGCAGGAGGAAAGAAGGGTCCTGGAAGAGGCACAGTTCCCCTCCGTGGCTAACACTCTGCAAATGACTTTCCTCCAGAGAATGTGTCTGCACCACCCTCAGGGTGCAGGTCTCAGTAAACATCCTTCCCTTCTGAACTCACACAGCATAACCAGCACGTTGTGTTTTGGACTAAATCTCATCTTTCGTTACCTGGCTTAAGAATTTGTGGTTTGGATAAGTTTGTGTCTTATTTCAAAGTCCATAAAATAAGGTACAATATTGGTACAATATTTACATATTTATTTATTATTATTTTTACTTCAGCATAATATGGGAATACAAATGTTAAGGTTACACACATTGCCCTTTACTCCCCTCCCGCCTCGAGTAGAGATTCAAGTGTGTCCATCCCCCAGACAGTGCACTTGGCACTTATTATGTATGTGTATACTGATCCCCTCTTGCCCCCTTCCAGATGCCGATCACTCAATATATATTATTTTCCTCAAAAAACTGTTAAATAAAAATAGAACTACCATGGCATACACTAATTCCATTTCTGAGTATATATCCAAAGGAAATGAAACAAGAATATTGAAAACATATCTGGACTCCCACATTCACTGCAGAATTATTCACAATAGTCAAGATATAGAAACAACCTAAATGTCCATCAACAGACAAAGGATAAAGAAAATTTGCATATGCTTACAGTGGAATATTAATCAGACTTACAAAATCCTGTCATATGTTACAACATGCATAAAACTGGATAACATTTTGTGAGATGAAATAAAACATGCACGGAAGGACAAAACTACATGATTCCACTTATGTGAGATATATAAAGTAGTTAAACTCATAGAAACAGAGAATAAAATGGTAGTTGCCAGAGGTTAGAGGGAGTAGGACAAGGGGAGTTGCTGTTCCACTGGTATAAAGTTTCAGTTATATAATATGAATAAGTTCTAGAGATCTGCTATACAACACTGTGCCTATAATTAACAATGCTGGATTGTACACTTAAAGATGTGCTAAGAATATAGATCTCAAGTTAAGTGTTCTTACCATAATAAAAAATAATTAACTTAAAAAATTAAGTGTGTATATGCTGTCTACTTGTGTATCATGAAGTTTGAATGAAGAGTGTATGACATACATTTAAAACTTTCACTGTTTATTGATAATATGATATTATATTTTGAAAATACCAAGGATTCGACTAAGAGACTCCTGGAATTGATGAATGAATTTAGTAAAGTCTCAGGATACAAAATCAATACACAGAAATCAGAGGCATTCATATATGCCATCAACAATCAAATTGAGAGCCAAATCAAAGACTCAATACCCTTCACAATAGCAACAAAGAAAATAAAGTACCTAGGCAGATACTTAACCAAGGAGCTAAAAGACCTCTACAGGGAGAAGTATGAAATGCTGAGGAAAGAAATGGCAGAGGACATAAACAGATGAAAATCCATACCATATTCGTGGGTCGGCAGACTCAACATTGTTAAAATGTCTATACTACCAAAACTGATCTACAGATTCAATGCAATCCCTATTAAAATCCCAACATCATTCTACATAGATATAGAAAAAATAATTTTACACTTCGTTTGGACCAGAGAAGACCCCACATATAAAAAGCAATTCTAGGCAATAAAAACAAAATGTGAGGTATCAATATGCCAGATTTCAAACTATACTAGAAAGCTGTAGTAATTAAATCAACATGGTATTGGCACAAAAATAGGAATATTGACCAGTAGAAAAGAACTGATAACCCTGATATAAAACCATCCTCATATAGCCAACTAATCTTTGACAAAGCAGACAAAAACATGCACTGGGGAAAAGAAACCTTATTCAATAAATGGTGCAGGGAAAACTGGATAGCCACATGTAGAAGACTTAAACAAGACTCACACCTTTCACCTCTCACAAAAATCAACTCACGCTGGATAACAGACTTAAACCTAAGGTATGAAACTATCATAATTCTAGAGGAAAATGTTGGAAACACTCTCCTAGACA